ACGTTATACGCCGGATTTGAAAATGATAGCTTTAAAAATAAAAAAATAATAACTGATGAGTACAGAAAAAATTGTTCTAAATATAACGAAATATTGTTTCTTTAAAAGAAATGACATTCCTTATGAACTTAAAAGGTTTTAGTTCTAGAAGTTACTATTTTTTTTTCAGAAGCCTGGTATAATACTTCGAATAAATTACTTCAAAACAAAAGAGAATTGCACTTGTGCATTTCAGACTCCTTCGTAAGTTCGTAAGGGGGTGCGCGTTATACGGTGAATAAACTTAAACATTAAAAATTTATACTTGAAAGTATAGGTGTGCGCCATATTTTACTGTAAGTATTGAATATAGTTTTACAAAATATAAATTTTAGCCTTTTCACAGACATGTCTTATGTTATTCCAGTAAAATATAATAAGTAATACATCTATGTACTTTATTTATTATAATAAATGTGCAATTGCGCATTAAATAATGTATAAATTTAAATAAGTTCAAAACTTATATACCAAGAAATGAAACTGAAAAAAACGCATCGCAATTTTTAAAAGTGTAAGGGAAGTAATCTAAGAATGAAATATCTATTCATTGTAAATCAATGATCTTTTTTAAGGTATGAATAAATACATTTATGAATTTTAAAATTAATTTTAAAAAGCTACATTTCAGCTTTAAAATGAAGTTTTAAAATTTTTGAGTCTGAATACACATTTCATTAAGAATGCCAAATGAGATTTGCATAATTCAAAGTAGTTACAAATCGATAAAAAAATTTTAAGTTTTTATACAACAGATTTGTTTAACACAATGGCATACAAAGAACTCTTCTGTAAGAAAACGAAACGTTTAAGTAGAACCACGATATTTTACATGCATATTTGATAAAGTATAGGAATGTAACAATATATTCATAGTGTGCTATACACAGTACATAGTTTTCAAATGCTGAGGCTTAGTCTATATTAGGAAAATATGTAAAAATTACCTTAATAATAATTTTAAAAAATGGCTTTTTAAATGGTTTAATGATTTATTTTACTATCTCATAAACGCTATGAAAATTACACATTCAAAACCTTCAAGTATAATAATTCAAAAGAAAAGAAGTAAGAGAAATAGCGATTAAAAAGTTATTTTTAACTTCGCTTTTACTCATTTGCAGTTTTAATCAAAAGAAAAAATCCTAATAAGAATATATATTCCTCCACTAATCAATTCTTCATTCTTTGTTTTGTTGGATTTTTTTCTTTAGCTCTACAGCATATAATATAATTTTCTCCTTTGGTGGTTGAATTGTTTATCTGGAAGTAATTTTTATCTGGGGATATGGTTCGTCGACTACTGATAAGAGCCCTTTAGCCATAAAAGCTTCATTCAATATTGATGTACTAATCTGGACAAAAGAAATAGTTCTCCTGTCCCCATTTGTTTGGTTACAATTTATATATACTGTTTCAAAGCACTTCGAAAGTACATGCTACAGTTATTCATCTCGCATTTCAGTGAATGTACTCATGATAATTTTCAGAGCATTTGTGGTGAATGTTACTTGAGAGGAAAAATTCTTATTGAATTTTGTTTCTCTTTAGAATTTCCAATGAATAAAGTACTCTTATTAAATAAGTAATAAGATTTGTTG